ATAGTAATAATAATATTCAGATATTTATAGAGTACATATAGTAATTTGTATTTGTACAAAACTACGTTTTTTTATGAATTAAAAATAACTGACATCTTGATGTCACGTCCTGTACACAATAAATATAATAAGTATTTAAGTTTTATGAAATTGATTAATCACAGTCGAATATGAGAAAAATAATCGACTATGATTGAAATTTTTTTAAGACTTATAGGTGCTTTTCAAACATTATTCTATCTTTCCTGTTATTTAGTGAGTAACAAGATAGAACGATATTTGTATCGATTTGTTAAATGAAAAGCATCTTACATATCTATTGTGTTCAAGATTAAAATCAGTATTTACAATTGGTTCTTATTTTAAGAAAATCGTCTTAAAATGCTAATACAAGTTTCTGATTCGCTTACAATATCTTAAAATATTTAAGGCGGCCTCAAATATATAAGAATCAACTATAAATACTGATCTAAGATGTCATAAATCGATTATAAAGTCATATTAGTATCTTAAAGCACTGCTTAAGATGATCTTAAAATAAAAACCGATTACTAAATAGTCAACCAACATCTGGATCATTTATATCATAGTCGAATATGCATGATTGATGTCGCAAGATCAACGTTTAAAAATTTCGCGCGCGTGCAGCCATTTTCTCCCCCCTCCGGCCAATCGGAATAACAATAATGACGGACGCACAACGACAGGTGGCGCCATATAGTTCGCCTCGGTCGCGTTTCAGTAGCATAAAAATTGAATTTTCATCACGGTCACGAAAGGAAACCAAGCACGACACGATTTTATACGATTTATCTTGATTTATCTCAAGCTTGATTATGTCGACGCGAATGCGAGATGTTTAATCGAGGTAAACTGAAGCGAAAGGATATCGAACGCGAAGAAGAATCTCAATTTTTTACTCTAAACTAGCGAGGGAGGGAAGAGGGAGGGGAAGGGCCCGTAAATCGCATAGGAGACGCGGTACATACGACTATACGAGCACGTTATTACGAGGTTAAAGCGAGACAGCATGACACATAGATAATCATCCGTCTTCCTTCTCTCTCTCCCCTCCTCGCTACTCCGTCGCGCCGACGCCTCCCACCACGAAAATCGCGCACGCAGCATCCTTGCGCGCGAAACACGCGTACGCCGGTGGACGCACGTCGTGTGTCTGTGGCTCGCGTGGCTGTACATACCTGTGAATAGTGTATTTTAAGCCTTAGTTTTAACGAAATGACCGTGTGAAGGAAGAAGACGTGTGAGGGAGAGTCGTGAAACGGAGAGCTACGTGAGTGCAACGTCGAAACACGAGAAAAAGAAAGAGAGAGAAAGAGAGAGAGAGAGAGAGAGAGGGAAAGAAGGAGGCGCAGGCAGAGAAAGAGAGACAGTTAATCGACGGCGGAATCCTCGTCGTCGAGAAGCAACCACACGTCGAGGGCGAGGTAAACGTTCACCAGGATCCCGAGCTTGCTACGCGAATCCTCGAGAACGAGATCCCAGAGTCTCTAATTTTCTTCTTTCTCTCTCTCTCTCTCTCTCTCTCTTTCGCTCGCTCGCTCGCTTGTTCCGTCCATTTCCCCTGTCCTTCTCTCATATACGATTTGCCTCCCTTTCTCTTGCTCCCTCTCTCCTTTCTCGCAGTTCTCGCTTGTTTCATCTTTCCTTCTTTCCTCGATCTGTTCGCGAGTCGTAGTGTTGTCGTCGGTTCGGTCAGTTGGTGCGTGCGTCAGAACCGTCCTCGTCGCTTCAGCCAAGGATCTCGCTCGGACGTGTTACGAGCGAGCGTGTGTGCGAGCGAGCAAGCGAGCGAGCCTGCGGTCATCGTGCGCGCCCGCCGTTCACGACGGTTTCCTTTGTGTTTTCTCTCTCTCTTTCTCTCGCCCCTCTCTCTTTCTTTCTCTCTCCCTCTCTCTGTCGCTCCATATCCGGCGCACACCAGGCACACACAGTGTTGTCAAAAATCCGGCAGCAGCGCGCCGGAGGTACACGCAGCTGCCATTGCTGTAACTGTCTGGTTTACGCTCACAGCTCGGTAAATACGCTCCTACGGTCTCTCTCGGGCTGATATCAGTGTGCCGCTCGTCATCATCGCCGTCATCGTCGCCGCCACCACCGCCACCACCGCCGCTGTCGTCGCCGCTGTCGCAACCGCAACGGCAATCTCAAGTCTCAACCGCAGCCGCCTCGTCACCGTCACCGTCGTCGCTGTCGTCGTCGTAGTCGTCTTCGTCATTGTCCTCGCCGTCGTTCTCTTTCTCATCATCGTCGTGGAAACGATTGGTGAGAATGTGCCGCCGTTAACAATCACGCGTCTACGGAATATGTTCGTGCAACGACCGTAGCAAGCGGCAACCTCCACGGCACCTCGCCAGACGCCGCCGGCTCTCTCCGTGCGAGAGCTAACCTTTACAGAGGCTGAGGGTGCACCTTCCCCTCCAGCACGTTTGGCCGTACCGCCTTCGCCGTGCCCGGGGACAGCGGCGCGGCCTGACACCACGAGGACATGAAGTGGCTCGGCGCGAGCAGCGGAGGCGCCGGAGGCGAACCGGCATCCTCCATGCAGCTGCATCACACCTCCGCCAACGGCCACATACCCACGGTACAACCTCCGCTTATTTTCTCTTTCTCTTCTTTTTTTTTTCTTTACCATTTGTCTCCTCGCCATTTGCGATCGGCTTCCTTGATATGGGGAATACGCCGATCACGAATCGAGTGTGACTATAATTGCGGCGCACGAGACGCCATAACCTCGATGAGTAGCCCTGCTGAGAATGAGCATTTGCTATTGTCAGCATGAGTGTTAAAGTGTTGATGGGAACGTTGATTCGGTCCTGTATGATGCGTAAGAGGAATGTGCCGAGTAGCTCAAATACAAAGTGATCGTATAAAAATAATGTATCTGATATCTTCTCCGAACTAGAAATTGTAGAAGCAAGAATAAGGAAAAATTGCCGTTTGTTTTAATATATATATAAAAGGTGTTAATAGCTTTCAAGTTGTAAACAATTGAAAACTAGAGGAGTTAAATTAACAAGCTAAAGGTCTGTTTTTTCTATTCTTGCACTAGAATGCACTAGAACTTTTTTTGCTTTTATTAAATATAAAATGTATATTTGTCTCACTTTAAATTCCAAAAGTGTACACTAGTTTAGCCATAGAAAATAGACCCTAAATCTTGGTTAATCAAAT